CCCCCCCCCGCCGCCCTACCATTGGTTAAACTGGTCACGCTCATAAACAACACCAAATGACATCTAAACAAACTTACAGCCATGTATGTCCGGAAAGACACAGCCTCCCTTCCAAATGAGGACGTCTAGTCGCAATTGGACAGATGTAGCCACTATTTAAAAGGCTGAAAAATGACAAACTGGAGCGAATTAAATTATTAGGCAGGAAGATGAGGAAGACAGAGGAGGAGCACGACGGGAAATGAGGTCGGAGCTCTGGGCTCAGCGGCGGCGGACGTCCGGCACGCTGATCTCTGCCAGGCCTCGTTGGCATGGGACCCTGGTTACTCCCTAAGCTTCTGGAAAGACGCTGTGCAGGACGGGGAGGCCGGGGGCACCATACCGCTCTTTGATGGAGGGAAGAAAGGAGGGGGGCCGACAGGGAGGATGGGGAGGAATGGTAATGAGCTGCTGGGGGGGGGGGGGGGGCACAGGGGTTCGACAGGCACGACAAGTGGCCCCACCTTCTCTAAGAGGCTAAGAGACGACAAGCGTGGTGCATCACAAGATAAACAGATGAAACGAACGGCAAATCCCATTAGGGCCTGTTCAGGAAGCTTCCAGAAATAGCACTGCAGAAGGGTGTAATCATCTCTTGGATTAGCACAGGAAACAAAGATCCCCCCCCCCATACACAATGCTCAGGATCCCCTGAATCATGTGCCTTCACTCAGCACCTCAGCATCAAATGGAACACCCCCACTTCCGGGCTGCATATAAGTCCATTGCCGATGCTGGGGGGTGGGGGGTATTATCTCGATTTCAGGGCAAAATATAAATAATGTGCATATTTTACCAACTGTGACAGAGACTAAGAAGGCTGTCATTATGGGGACGGAATCAGTAGCCTCCACTGCTCATCCTGCCTTGACCTCGGCCATTGTGGAGAAAGAGGGGACCACAGCAGCCTCTGCCTATGGTGCTGTGGGAGGTGGTGCCCCCTGCTGGCAGGAAGACTAAATCACACTCTCGACCTGACTGATTAACCCTGTCACACACAAGCCTCTTCCAGGACGCTGAACCTCGAACCAACAGCACACTTGATCTTACCCATTTATAATCCTGTAGAAGAAGCCATCGCTGTATGCAATTGTGCTATTGTGTCACACTGCTGACCGCGGTATTTTCATTAGCTGAAAGGCATCACCCTGTTGACTTGTTCTGGCGCCTCGATCCCTCAACAATTTGCTGAAACAAACTCCATCAAGCTTATTAAAGCATCCAAAACACATTCAGGTCAATGTTTCCCAAACCAGTCCACATTTTTTTTTTATCCCTCTCAACTTTCAACAAACCTGTACCATTTTTTGGGTGTTCTTGATTGGTTGGGAATTGGGAGGGAGCAAAAATGTGGACTGTCTGGGGATCCCTGAGGACCGGGTTGAGAACATTGTTTCAGGTAAAGTGCAGAAGCAGCAGCTTCATACAGCTCGTTCGAGGGTGAGATGTTTTTCAAAGCAAAGTCACGTGAGCAGTTTTATAGACGCCTCATAAACAGGACCCTGTGGAGACCACGCCCACTCGGGGCCAACCCTGGAAACAATCCAAAGATGTGGGCAGTAGGGGGACTCTAGGGGGGCTGTGAATTCGACACACAGCTGACCTGTGAAATCCCCCAAAGTTGCCCAACGGTTGTCCTGCAGGTCCAACTTACACTGGAGATTGGAAAAATGTCCAATCTCCAAGGTTACGTTTAAATCTAAATGAATGTTAGAAAGATGGTGGAATGTAAACTTCGTAGTTATACTACCAAATCCGTCTTCAAATCCCAGTGATTTAGCGGATGATTCTATAAAAACGAGTCTCCTTTTCAGTTCTTTTAACACAACATGCTATTAAAAGGAAGGGCAAAGATATTCTTAGACAATCTGAGATCGATTTACTGTGGCATTCATAGATTTTTTTTCTCTATTTTTTTCTCTATTATAATTGGACTGCTCTCCTGTGTGTTTAATCGCTGCAGGTTTTTCCGTCCCATAAAACTGGCTTTTCCATCTTGATAAAAATGTGCGTAAAAGTGGGAAGAACATTTAAACTTTATTTATTTATTTAGCAAGCACGTTTATCCAAAGTGATGTGCAACTGAGAAAGCAAGGTCACACAGTCCCGGGCAGATTCATGGGGCGCAACACGGAGCCCTTGAATATGTAAAATTATTGTACGAGGGAGCCCAAGGTGACATTTTAATAGGGGGCCTAGAATTTCTTGTTGCACCCATGCAAAAACCAAAAGGTGGGATTTGAACCAACTACCTACCACTTACAACATATACAAACCTTCTGTGCACCACAAGACAGTGACACAAGTGATTGGTGGATCACTGTCAAAGATGTGGAAGAATCTGCAAATCATGCAGTGACAGAAGCCCGATCCACATCCTCGAGTGAGGGTTTGGGAATCGTCCCAAAAGCTGAAAACTCCACGTCGCGTCCCAGAGGTTCCAGCA